GGGCCCGCGGCGCAACGGGAACGGCCCCGCGGCGCAGTTAAGGCTGCGAACAGGTTGGTGGCGCGAAGGGCTGGTGCCCTCCAAGCGGGATGGTGGGAAGGCGACATGAGTTTTAGAGACGTGAGTTTCTCGCGCCCGTAGGTGAGAAGTAGAACTTTGCTAACTCCCTGTCCCGGAGCGTTCTTGCTTCGAGAAAATAACCGAGACACAAATCAAACTCGTGCTGCCTTAGCAATCCATAAGAGATCTCTTATTTTATCAGTGAATGCAAAATCTATACCGCTTTAGTTGCAAACACAGTGATGCTCTCTAGCTAGACAGTGCAGATAAAAGGATTTTGCAAATGTTGGATTAAACAGTATTGACCATAATCATTTCCACCTCTTGTGTAAAGGTCCAGTCCTGCTCACAGATTGAGGGTATTTAATACCACATTAGTGCACTGCTTAGTATTTTAAAGGTAATCATATGATTATTTTAATAATCATCTGGCAAATAATGTTTCATAACACACAAGATACAAAGTTTAGATATTAAAATATGCTAGCGGCAGGTAATTAAATTAGAGCACAAAGAGAGGAAAGATTAGTGTGGTGACACTTCTTCACACTTTGTATTAGACTTACAATTTATGAAGGAATAATTCTAAATCCAGGTGTTGAGCAATGCATTTTTGAGACTCCTCACATAAAGATATCTCTGTGAGAGAGCTGATTGGTATTGGATGTGTAGGAACAGTATACAGAGAGGTATATGTGAGAGTCTGCAACAGGCCCAAAGAGCTTCTGATCAGGCTTGTGCAACCTTAAATTCAACTTGATGTCATTTCTCTTTTTGAATGGTTGTTTATTGGAATCAATAACTTTTGAATACTGGATTGAAACAATTCCAAAATTTCAGGTAATGTTCTTGGTGTCAGTGGATAGAAAAACTATTTGTTTTGAGGAAATTGAGACGGGAGAATGGGGGACATGCTAGGGATGTGAACCAGTAGCCAACTAGTTGATTAACCGATTGGTTAATCTAGTCGACTACTTGCATTCCCCCCTTGCTGACTCTGGGGAAGCAGGAGTTGGTGCTGGGGGGAGATGGCTTAAAAGCCACCTTAAAAGCGCCCTCCCTCCCACCATAGGCGGTGGGAGTCAGGGGAGGGGAAGCTTCCATGAAGCAGCCTCTGCCTGCAGCAGTGCCAGTGCTGGCTGTGGACAGAGGCTGCTTTAGGGTAGCCTTCCCACTTCCCCATAGCAGCCTCTGTCTGCAGGGAGCTTGGATCCCCATGGACAGGGATTGCTACCATCCCATGCTGCTGCCTCTATATCACAGGGGAGTTGTGAGGGGAGCTGGATTTCAAACTGGCTCCCCTTGTGTACCGGCTCCTGCCTGGCACCCAACACTACTCTTGGAGGCAGTAGTGCAGGGTGGCTGGGGGCTCCCTGGGAATGGGGTTGGATTGCACTGGCTGTCAGCCCTGTACCCAGGGAGTACAGAGTAGTTGACTAACCCCTAAGAATTCATGTGGTTAGTTGACTAGTCAATTAACCAATAGCTAACATCCCTAGGACGTGCAGATCTTCTGCCATCCGTTTAGTGGACATGCCCACAGCTCTGTATGCTATAGTTGTTTATAGATCCAGTAACTCACCAACAATACTAACACCTTGCAACATAACAATACCCCGTTTCTTCTCTGCTCATCCTCCCAGTAGAGTTTAATGTTGACATCCTGAATTGCTTTTCTCTTGTACAGAAGAAGAAATGTGGGAGAGTTGGGGGCACAGAGCCATGGCATGCAGCCCAGTAGAAGAGAAGGGGGAACCGTGTGTGTGTGTGTGTGTGTGTGTGTGTGAGAAATAATGGGATACATTAGAGGGCCCCTGTAATGGGGGTGAAATGGGAGATCACACTGAGGCCCTGTGAGGGAGAGAAAAGGGGACCATTTGGTGGAAGGATTTGAGGGCATTTGGAGATTCTGGCATGAGGTTGGGAGTGTTTCAGGGAGTTCCTGAAATAGAGAGATTAGATCAGTGGTCCCCAACCTTTTGGGGCTGCCGGGTGCCTGGGGGTGGCGCTGTGCATGTGCTGTGAGCCCAGGGTGGGGGCCGCGCATGCGCCGGGCACCTGGGGTGCAAGAATGGCTCGGGCCAGCCCTGGTCACTAGGCGTGCGCACATAAATGCCCTGGCAGGCACCATGGCACCCACAAGCACTGCGTTGGGGACCACTGGATTAGATGACATAAAGCAGGGGTGGGCAACCTGCTGCCCACTGGGGCCCCACCTGTGCCCTGTGGACTCTCTGACTATCCCCTTCACCCAAGTGACTCTTTTGCACTGGGGCACCAGAGCCATGCACTTCCTATGCCTCTCCCCTTCCTCCCAGCACTTTTGGAGGAGTTGCAAATCACCTGATTTGCGCTCTGTCCTCACTTCTCCTCTTCCTTCCCAGAGCTGGAATACCATAAATCAGCTTTGGGGGAGGGAGAGTATGGTGGGGAGGGGGTG